TTACTGAAATATATACATGCATGTTTGTGTATTTATATATACATAATAAATATACACAGAACACAAAACATATATTATATGATTATTAAGGCTTATTAAGCTTATTAAGCCTCTCATCAAAAAACCACAACTTGACCCCAAAGAACTAGTTAATTACAGACCGATCTCGAATCTCCGTAAACAAAAACTTTTTTTGGATGTGATTAATCACGATTAATCGTGTGACAGCACTAATAATAATGTAATAATATTTCACTAAATTACTGGCTTGACTGTACTTTTGATCAAATAAATGCCGCCTTGATGAGCAGAAGAGACTTCTTTCAAAAACATTAAAAAATCTTACCAACCCCAAATGTTTTGAACAGTAGTGTTGTTACAAAACCAGTATACAGTATAGTATAGTTACAAAAGCAGACCCTCCCTTTTAAAAAACAATCCAAGTGGTTAAAGGAGTCGCATTTCCCATCAATAACATTCATCAATATCAGGTGTAAACAGGCGTAAGAGACTACAGAAGCATAGAAAGTATCAATCATTTTCTAAAACTGAATAACTGAAGCGATGTTAAAGGGGTGATATGATGCTTTTTTAAAGATCATTATTTTGTGTATTTGGTGTAACCGAATATGTTTACATGCTTTAATGTTCAAAAAACACATTATTTTTCAAATACTGTACATTATTGTAGGTCCTCTATGCCCCGCCTCTCTCAAACGCTTCGTTTTCTACAAAGTCCCTCCTTCCGACAAGCGCAGTCTGCTCTGATTGGCCAGCTGACCCAGTGCATTGTGATTGGCCGAACACCGCAAGCACTCGTCGGAAATGTAACACCCCTTACCATAATCGCGAGCTTCATCTATCAAAATAAATGTAAAGACAGAGCCCGAAAGGGGAACAGAGTCGCGCACACACACACACACACGATGCGCAAAACTCCGCATTTGAACAGTCAATAGCAAATACTTAAACTAATAACAAAACAGTAGCTGATTCAGAAGCGCCAGATTGTCATAGCAAAGTCAGAATTACCTCCTCTCCTAGGTTCACGAAACGGTCGTCCATAAAATGCATTGCTGTTCTGTTGTAAGTAATCTTAAAGATTCCTAAATGCATCTACTTTCGGAAGGCCAAATAAAGTCCTTTTGCTTTCGCCTAGAAACACACAGCGTCTCCCTGACATAGCTGCTTCAACACTAACTGCGGTTACTGAAACCACGCCTTCTTTCTTTGCGTGCACATTTGGGCCACATTATGCAAATATTCCCACATAGTGACCTAGATATGTGGGGGCGTGTTAGAACGAGCCGTTTTAGGGGGGCGTGGCAGAGTCTTAACTTTGATAAAGAATATCTCTTTGGTTTTGAGACTTTAGTCTTTGCAACTTCAGGGATCTTATCTATGCACAATCAGCTTAACACTCCAAAGAGAAAGGAAAACTTGAAATCGCATCATATGACCCCTTTAATCGTTTGGTTTGTGGGTTTCATTGCTAATGATGTGAGAATAAGCACTAGTTTCCAGATGGTTGTACTGATGGATGTGCCCCCCTGCAGTCCTGGCCTTTATGGCTACACTCTCTGTCTGCTATAATGCCGCTTTAATGGCTCGTGGATCAATAGATGCTCTCACCACCCATAAAGCCCAGCCCAAACATACAAATATATGTGGAACAATATGGCATACATCTACATAATATAACATCTATAGTTCGAAACACAGGATGATTTCAGAAGAATGATTTGATGTTTGTCCATTCAAAATGCACTGTGATATACAACTGAGATGCGATTTGGTGTCTGAAAACATTACATTCAGTTATGTAAAGTACTCTTATAAATTGTTATTCTTATTATTGTTGCTTGTCTAAAAAAAACTATTTGTAGTCTTACAGTTACACATGCGGCTACAAAGGTCTTAAAAATCGCAAGTCGAAAGCTCATGTATCATCTTAAATGCCAAAAAAAGGATCGAAATGTCAACACAATAAAATCAGCGCCTCTTTGACTTGGTCTTGGAAAAGCTGTGGGATAATAGCTTCACTGAGCTGGAATTGATGCCAGCGCTGCCACTCTGAAACTGCTTGTATAGGAACGCTTAACCTGGGGCAAAGAGCTCAAAATCTTTTCTTTTACCACATTTCCTAGATCAGGTTTGTGCCTAGGGAAGCCGTAGGAAGCCTTTCGCCCACAACAGCTGCCGCTAACTGTAAAATATCTTGGGAGATCCATAAAGGTTCAAGCGGCATCTCATGGGAATGATTAAGTTTAACGATCGCTGTGTCGCATAACAGCCCAGGAATATGACACCGTTCACAGGCCCAGCCGCACCCAATACTGACGTTTTCACATTTACTAATTATGTAAAGATTGTAGTGATGCACCGAAATTATTTGATTGAAACAACAATTGTCAGTCTCCGATTAAATATTTTTGGAGGGATGAAATCACTGACCGAAACAATGACATTTAATTAGTGTTTCTCTGATGGTGCATTTTGACTGTGTCAAAGTTTATTTCATGCACACAATGTGGATAATTTACGACAAGTAAACATGTCAGCTGTGTGGATGCTAGTACAGGATTAACAAAACTGATTGCATGTTTTTATTCAATATTGATCTGCATTCTTGGTAACACTTTAGATTAAGGAACACATTCACTATTAACCAAGAGTTTTCCCTGAATAAACTCAATTTGCTGCATACTGATAGTAAGTAGGGTAGTTGTTGTAGTACAGTAGTTATATTTAGGTATTGCATAGGGTTAAGGAATCTAAAATATGGCCATGCAGGTTTTATAAGTGCTAATAATCAGCCAATATGCTATATGCACGCTAATAAGCAACTAGTTAATAATAAATACTGTTCCTAATCTAAAGTGTTACCGAATTCGTACATTTCCAGATCAATCTTTTAGGGCTGTTTTCAGTTGATGCATGAACAAAACTTGATAAAACATTATTTACTAGCATTCCTCCCATCCAATAAATTGTAATAAGCTTTGTTCTTTGTTACTTTTGATATGTGACAAAGTCTCAGCTTATAGATTCTGTCAATTTTGTTATGAAATTGAAACGATAAATACTTTTTGGTGCTCTTTAAAGGACTAGTTAACCCAAAAAAGAAAAATTGCTAGTCATTTACTCACCCTCAGGCCATCCAAGATGTAGATATCTTTTTTCCTCAGTAGAACAGTAAAGAAGATTCTTAGCTGAACTCATGGTCCTTGGTGATTCATAAAATGCAAGTCAATGGCTGCCTTCATTTTGAGAGTCAAAAAGAGCAACACAAGCAACAAAAAATGAATACCCATGGCTCTTGACGAAATATTGAGGTCTTATGAAGCGAAACGTTTGGTCTGTGCAAGAAACTGAACATTAATTACAACATTATTACCTGTAATCCAGAGCCTCAGACAAACAGGGAAATCCAATTATTTTCCACTAACTGGTTCTTTCAGACAGTTTGTCTATTTAATCATGCAATGGCCTAACATATTACGCAATTAAAGCACTCAATAATGATGTGAAACGTGGATGTTTTACATGTCTAAAGCATATAAAAGGTCTTCACCAACTCATATGAAGCTCATATCAGCTTGCATCGTATAATTTTCTCAGTTCAATGACAGTGCGCTGGAGCGCTGAATGAGTCGGTAAAAAACAGCATCATAGGATCATATACGGCGGTATTTTGGCTCATTTTGAGTTGAAGTTACTGTCAAGCGTCCGAAAGTGAGTTTTGATTGAGTAACTTATAGGTCTGTGCTGCAGATTTGGTGAACTGGTTCAACTATTTCACCAAAAAGAACCGGTTCATTGAACGATTCATTGGCAAACCGGACATCACTCCAGACTGTTTACCTGAGGCTATGGATTACAAGTAATAATATTGTAAATAATGTTTCGTTTCTTGCACATACTGATTGTTTTGTTTTATAAAACCTCAATATGTCGTCAGAAGCCACGAGTCAGAAGTCAGAAGTATTATTTTTGTATTGCTTATATATGATTTGTTTTACCGGTAGCCACTAACCTGCATTTTATGAATAACAAGGACCATGATTTCAGCTAAAAATCACTGATCTACTTCTATTAAACAATATGTGACCCTGGAGCACAAACCCAGTCTTAAGTCTCTGGGGTATATTTGTAGCAATAGCCAAAAATACATTGTATGGGTCAAAATTATCGATTTTTCTTTTATGCTAAAAATCATTAGGATATTAATTAAAGATCATGTTCCATGAAGATATTTTGTAAATTTCCTACCATAAATATATCAAAACATAATTTTTTATTAGTAATATGCATTGCTAAGAACTTCATTCGGACAACTTTAAAGGC